TTTCCCTCTTAAAGCCCCACTTTTACCCTCCATTTACTAAGTTTTAAATTCCCTTTCCCCTTCTAATCCCACCGCCCTCAACATGGGTTCCCACATAAATAAACCTCCTCTTTAATACTTCACCGTCCAATAAGGTAACACAGTAATTAGTAAAACGTTCATTGATTACATACCCAAAATAAAACGGGAAAAGCCCATGCTTTAAAGTCCATTATTGCAATAGACTTATCAGTAAAAGCTTACTCCTTCAACGTTCTTACCCCAATCTCTTAAAGGGCTCTTTTTTTTAGGTATATATGGTTAGTTCTAGTTAAATATAATGGTTTCGACTCGGATTAAAATTTGGTTTGAACCGATTTGGTTCCTTGACATGTCTAGGAATCCATTAAATTTATGGGTACTCGCCTAGCTCCAAGTCTGAAACAGACATAACGTATCCATTGAATCGCCATATTCCTACAATTTTATTTTTTATTTTTTCTATCATCCATTTTCTAAATGTAAAATATTTTTAATTTTTGTTCGACCGATTTCTAGACCTAAGAATCGAACCGACCCGATCAGGATGAGTCTAGTCGTTGACCATTCCGACCACCCAATCAAAACATTGTCCAAGAGTAAGCCGATCACATTATCATAAGATAATTACAGCCGCGCTACAATTACAACATCACCAGTGGCTTAAATCTATAACATTATTTTTTACTCACTACCAAATTCATCAGAGATTTTTCTTTAGATTTCTCTTCCCCATATCCAAAAGTACAACAAAAACATCTTGTCTTTGAAATATTTTTACCTGATATATCGTTGATTTCGTCAATTTGTGGTCGATACAACGAGACTTAAGACACTTTATGAGTCTTAAATACGTTGAAAGGTGGACTCACACGTCGTCACTTTAAGACGTAGTAATTGAATACTCGGTTCTCCCTCCTAAAAGTCGGCTGAGCAACCTTCCTTGGTCACGAAATTTCCTATTTCTAATTTTCAAAAAAACAAACCTCTTATTTCATTTAAAACTGAAGGAAAAAAAATATTTTTTTCACCTTCGTCTCGGCCTCAAGGACTACACTTGTACATCACAATAATTTTCAAAAAAAATTTAAAATAAAATTATTTGGGAGGTTTATAGGTCTGAAATTTTCGGGACCAATAAATATCCCTAGATGATTATTTTCAAAAGAAAATATTCGATATTTTGAAGTTTTTGAAACTTAAAACTTACCCTTCAAAAATTGGACGGTTCACATTCAATTTTGAGACATTATTTTTTTTAATATATGAAGTGCTCAATAGTAAAAAAAAACTTTTTAAGGAGGTTAGTGTATGACAACATCCCCGAAAGTTTTATTAAACTATTATTTTAAAATTCTTCCAGTTGAATACAAATTGATTTTAAAAATAGTTATTTCATTTAAAATTGAAGAAAGAAAATAATTTCGGCCGTTTTTTCATGTTTTAAGATGACATCACAAACGTTTTTTTCAACAATTTATATACAAAGGGATTTACAAAATAAATTTGGAAAATAGTGCATAAATAATGACCCCCTGGATAAGGTCGCAAACAATTCTCAGTTTTACCGAAATGTTCTTTAAAAATTCTTCAAAAATAATAAAAAAATTATATTTTCTCATTTTTAGTGATATAATAAGCAACTTACCAAGGTGGATACGTGGTTGCACGGCATGTCCCTCGCTGGTGGGACCCGATTTGGCCTTCCACGTCAGCATAATCACGCCCTGCGCTAACGTGGCACTCTGTTTGGCGCCCACGTGTCCAGATTTTAATGGCGCTTAGCTGTGTCCATGCGGTGCCATGTGGAGCTAGTGAACCCAACTTACGTCGAGATGGGACCCATCCGCAAAAGGCTTCTTTTATTTTCTTTTTATCATTTCATCTTTTTTATTTAAATTTTTATCCTTTTTATTATTTATTTTGCTAATTTTGCGTCGACGTGTCCATGCAGTGTCATACGAAATGACGGCTGGATTTAACTCCCATAACAGAAGTGCTTCCCAACTTGATTAAGAAATCTTAATCGTTCATTACATGACACTTGCTAAAATCGTAGCCATTGATGCTGACTGAGACTCCCATAGTAGTCGGCCGTGATGAATCGACACGTGTCGGAAGATTAGGTCTTGACGGGTCCTTAAGAGAGGGTGACCGACACTTCCACGTGACAAATCTTGTCTATCTAATAATATAAATTTCATGTCAAAGGAGTATATGTCCCCGCGGGTGCAGAGCATATGTTTACTCCGCTGGCTAAAAACGTTAGTTAAGAGGAGAGAGTGAGGATGATGGTTCCGATTTCAGGACCTCAAAATTGCTCTGATT